GGTTCGAATCCGGCCTGTGGTCCTTTGCTGCATGCAGTCCTTTGCCAGTTCAACAGAGCTATGGCTCTGGGTGAGTTTGGCAACTGTATTAAAAAGAAATCTAGGATTGTCCAGGCTGCTGTTAGCCGCTTATATTCAGGATCTATTAGTTTTGGTCGTGACCCAGATTTCATGAATAAACCAATCAGTTAATTTAGGGATTTGTATTTTTAGCTTGGTTCTTTCTGATAACTAAATCTATTTAAAGAGGAAGCTAAGTAAATCTCCCAACACTAAAAGAAACTGGATGGAAATTGTACTTTTCTTTGGCTGCCGTCTGAGTCTGTTGTTCATACAAAGCCTTTTCATAATACTTTTTAGAGAATGATGACGCAGTTCATCGACCACAACCTCTACCTCCATCCAATGTGCACCAAATGGGTTTGTCAAGTGCTGACAGTGCTTCGACCTATGTTCTTTCCTCCAACCGCCATGGGTTCTCCAGTTATCCTGATGCCTTTGTGAGCTCTGCAACTCAGAGCAATCCTGTTAGTAATGGACTTTCTCAACAGGTAAGGCCTTTTTGGTTACTGTATAATGTATGTATAATGTAAACTGTTTTAAAAACTTTGAGGACACTAAATCCTATTCTATGAATTGTGTAAATTTGATGGGCCAGTTGTTCTGGCCTTTAGCCTCTGGTAGGATCCCCAATGGTATAGTGGCCTCAGGAGAGGAATCTCTCAAATAGCAGTTAGAAGGTTACAGTCAATTCTTTGCTCCTGGGAGTTAGCCATTCCTAGAAGATCAAGCTTTGGATTTAGAATTAGCACTGTGGTTTTTATCCAGGTTATTGTGCCATCAACCAGATTAACCTAATTGTATTGTTCAAATTGCTTAATATTTTCTTTTAATGTGTTTTTTTTTTTTACATTCTATTCAAAATAATCTACAAAAATTTAATTTATTTTTTTTATTTATTTATTAATTTTTTTTAACATTGTCCTGTCTGGCAAGCTGACAATAAGAATAATTGTCTTGATGCCAAAAAGAGCCCAACAGATTTTACTTTCAAAAGTGGAGTAGTACGGCTATCGCCATACTGCTCCACTTGTTTCATGCATATAAATTGCTTTATTATAATCATGCAGGGAGTTTTACAGTTTATATGGACACTGCAATGTAAATAGAGCAGAAATTAGAAGAAGAAAAAGGAAAAAAGAAAAAAAAGACACAAAAGATGAAAGAAAGAAGAGATAGAAAGGAGACAATGACAAAACATTTCCAGTCTGCTTCATCACCTGTAACGAGATGAAAAAAGAACAGCACAACATGGTACGAGATATACAAAAAAGCAACACCTTGAAACTATCGCTAAAGTAGAATAAAGTAGTAAAAGTAGCAGTAGCAAAAATTGAATTGAGACATCAGCCATGACTGACTGGAGATTTGAAAACACAAATAAAACAATATGAGAAGAAAAGACCAAAATGCACTGATCCAGGGTTAATGTCCATGTTAAGGAATAAATTAACACTTTTTTTTTTATGTATGTATGAACGGCATTTCCTCGCTGTGTTTTATGTTTAATAAGGTATTGCTATATTCTGTTTTCATTTGTGTAATTAGGGTTTTGCCTTTTTTAGGTCTATTTCCAGTTTCTGAGTTTATTCTTGTGTTTTGTCCTTTTTGCGTTTTAGTTTAATTTTCAGATGATTGTTAATTTTTCACCCCTGGGAATTTTTTTCTTTATATCATCTTTTCCCTTCCTCAGCTTCCCTGCT